GCGCATCGCCAACGCTTCTCTATGGGCGCCGCGGGGCATCATGGGAGCTGTAGGCGGGGTATAATGGCGGTCTAGGGTCAATGAGGGCCCTGAGGTCCTGGAAGGGTCAAAGAGGCCCTGGGGGAGTAACTGGGGTCCTGGAAGGGTAGAAAAGGTTCTTGAGGGGGTCAAAGAGGCCCTGAGGGGGTGAATGGGGTCCTGGAAGGGTAAAAAAGATTCCTGAGGGAGTAAGTGGGGTCCTCAGGGGTGCTTGGGGTCCTGGCAGGGTAAACGAGGCCCTGAAAGGGTAAATGGGGCCCTGAGGGGGCAATTGGGGTCCTGGAAGGGTAAAAGAGGCTCCTGAGGGGGGCGAAAGAGGCCCAGAAAGGGTCAATGAGGCCCTGGGGGAGTCACTGAGGTCCTGGAAGGGCAAATGAGGCCCTGGGGGAGTAAATGAGGCACGATGGGAGTTGTAGTCCCAGAAACCGCCAGAATGGAATTTTTTGGGGGGGGGGTTTTGGGGAAATTTGGGGGGGATTTTGGGGGTCCCCGACCAACCCCACCCCTCAAGCAGAGAGTCTCAAGGACCAATCAGAGTCTTTATTGTGGGCGGGGCTGGCGCCGCCTTTAAATTAACATACAAAACCCGAAACCCCACCCCCCAAAAAAATACACCCCAAAAAATAACAAACCGCCCCCAAAAAGTGCCGCGCGGGGAGGGGCTGGACCCACCGGGGGAGGGGGGGAGGGGCTGGGGGGGGGGGGGGGGGGGGCCGCGGGGGGGGGGGGGGGGGGGGCCAAGGGTGGCGGTCGGGGGGGGGGGCCTGGGGGGGGGCTTTGGGAGAAACTCAACTTCTGGTTGACCTTCAAACCTCTTGGTTGACCTCCACAAGTCTTGGTTGACCTTCATGATTCTTGGTTGACCTTCATAACTCCTGGTCGACCTCCAGGACTCTTGGTTGACCCCCAAGACTCTTGGTTGACCTTCATGATTCTTGGTTGACTTCCACCACTTTTGGTTGACCTCCAAAACTCTTGGTTGACTTCCATGATTCTTGGTTGACCTTCACAGCTCCTGGTTGACCCCCAAGACTCTTGGTTGACCCCCAAGACTCCTGGTTGACCTCCATGACTCTTGGTTGACCTTCGTAACTCTTGGTTGACCTTCATGATTCTTGGTTGACCTTCACCACTCTTGGTTGACTTCCAAGACTCTTGGTTGACTTCCATGATTCTTGATTGACCTTTGTAACTCTTGGTTGACCTCCATGACTCTTGGTTGACCTCCACCACTCTTGGTTGACCTCCACCACTCTTGGTTGACCTCCAAGACTCTTGGTTGACTTCCACGCCTCCCAGTTGACCCCCAAGACTCTTGGTTGACCCCCAAGACTTCTGCTTGACCTCCACAACTCTTCACTGATTTCCACCACTCTTGATTGACCTCCACGACTCTTGGTTGACTTCTACAACTCTTGGTTGACCTCCACAACTTCTGGTTGACCTCCATGACTCTTGGTTGACCTCCATGACTCCAGATCAACCCCCAAGACTCCTGGTTGACCCCCAAGACTCTTGGTTGACCCCCACGTCTCCCGGTCGACCCCCCAGACTCCTGGTTGACTTCCATGATTCTTGGTTGACCTTCAAAACTCTTGGTTGACCTCCAAGACTCTTGGTTGACCCCCACGCCTCCTGGTTGACCCCCACGCCTCCCGGTTGACCGGACGCCCTCCACAACCTCCTCCATCACCCCCTCCACCACCCTCCACCTCCAAAACCCTTTCATCCCCCCATAACTTCTCTCCAACCCCCTTTTTTTGTCCCCCCCGACCCCCCCCGAGGTCAGTTGAGGAAGCGGCGGCAGCGGCGGGCGCCGCAGTTGCAGGGCAGCTTGGCGGCGGGTTCCTCGATGGGGAACTTGTAGTCGTAGGTGAGCTCCTCGCCGCGCAGGATGCGGCGCAGGGCGAAGATGACGATGCGTTTGTGGCCCTCGACGTGGATGACCCGCGAGTAGCAGTTGGGCTCGCACGAGTGGTTGATGAAGCGCGCGGCGCTGCCGTGCATCGTCGCGTCCACCACCTCGGCCTCGTCGATGCGGAACATGTAGCACCCGATGCCCTGGAAAAAGAGTCATTTTTGGCTCGATTTTGGGGATTTTTGGGGGATTTTTGGGTGAATTTTGGGTGATTTTTGAGTAATTTTTGGCTCAATTTTGACTCAAAAATTGAGCAAAAATGGAGGCGAAATCGAGTCAAAATTGAGGAAAAATGGAGTCAAAACCCGGCCCTAAATTGAGCCAAAACCCGGCCCAAAACTGAGCGAAAAATCACACAAAATTGAGCAAAAAATGAGTCAAAATTGAGTCAAAATTGAGTCAAAATCTGGCCCAAAATGGAGCCAAAATGGAGCCAAAACCTGGCCCAAAATGGAATCAAAAATAAGCAAAAAATGAGTCAAAATCGAGCCAAAAATGAGTCAAAATTGAGTCAAAACCTGGCCCAAAATTGACCCAAAACTGAGTCAAAATTGAGCCAAAATCGAGACAAAATTGAGCAAAAATGGAGCCAAAACCCGGCCCTAAATTGAGTCAATACCCAGCTCAAAACTGAGTCAAAACCTGTCCCAAAATTGAGCCAAAAATGAGTCAAAATTGAAGAAAAATGAAGCCGAAAAATGGAGCCAAAACCTGGCCCAAAATTGAGCGAAAACCCGACCCAAAATTGAGCCAAAATTGAGTCAAAATTGAGCCAAAATGAGTCAAAATTGAGCCAAAACCTGGCCCAAAATTGAGTCAAAACCTGGCCCAAAACTGACTCATTTTTGGCTCCGTTTTGACTCATTTTTGCTCAATTTTGACTCGATTTTGGGCCAGGTTTTCACTCAATTTTGAGCCAGGTTTTGACTCAGTTTTGACTCAATTTTGGCTCAATTTTGGGCCAGGTTTTGATTCCATTTTTGGCTCAATTTTGACTTAATTTTGGGCCAGGATTTGGTTTAATTTTGGGCCAGGTTTTGTCCCCATTTTGGGCCAGGTTTTGACTCAATTTTGGGCCAGGTTTTGCCCCAATTTTGATTCATTTTTGCTCAATTTTGACTCAATTTTGGGTCGGGTTTTGTTTCCATTTTGGGTCATGTTTTGACTCAATTTTGGGCCACGTTTTGGCTCAATTTTGATTCATTTTTGCTCAATTTTGGGCCAGGTTTTCTGCCCATTTTGGGCCGGGTTTTGACTAAATTTTGGGCCAGGTTTTGGCTCAATTTTGGTTCAATTTTTGGGGTCCCTCTCCCCAAATTTTGGGGTCCCTTTCCCACCTTGCTGTCGTAGAACTTCTCCCTCTTGTCGGTGAGGACGGAGCGCACGACGATCCCGGAATATTCGATCACCATCTCGCCGGCCTCGATGTTCCGCTTGCAGAACAGGCCCCGCCCGTGGATGGCCGACCTGGGGGGGGACAGGTGTGCCCAGGTGCCCCCAGGTGTGTCCAGGTGTGCCCCAAACATTCCCAGGTGCCCCCAGGTGCGTCCCAGGTGTGTCCCAGGTGTGTCCCAGGTGTCCCCAGGTGTGTCCCAGGTGTGTCCCAGGTGTCCCCAGGTGTGTCCCAGGTGTCCCCAGGTGTATCCAGGTGCCCCCCAGGTGTGCCCAGGTGCCCCCCAGGTGTGCCCCAATGCCCCCCAGGTGTGCCCAGGTGTGCCCAGGTGCGCCAGGTGCCCCCCAGGTGTGTCCAGGTGTATCCCAGGTGTCCCTCAGGTGTGCCCCAAACATTCCCAGGTGCCCCCCAGGTGCCCCCCAGGTGTGTCCCAGTTGTCCCCCAGGTGTGCCAGGTGTGTCCCAGGTGTGTCCCAGGTGCGCCCAGGTGCCCCCAGGTGTGCCCAGGTGTGTCCCAGGTGTGTCCCAACCACCCCCAGGTGCCCCCAGGTGTGTCCCAGGTGTGCCCAGGTGTGTTCCAGGTGTGTCCCAGGTGTGCCCAGGTGTCCCCAGGTGTGTCCCAACTGTCCCCAGGTGTGTCCCAGGTGTGTCCAGGTGTATCCCAGGTGTGCCCAGGTGTGCCCCAAAAATTCCCAGGTGCCCCCAGGTGTATCCCAGTTGTGCCTAGGTGTGTCCAGGTGTGCCCCAGGTGTGCCCAGGTGTGTCCAGGTGTATCCCAGGTGTGCCCAGGTGTACCCAGGTGCCCCCCAGGTGTCCCCAAGTGCCCCCAGGTGTGCCCAGGTGCCCCCAAATGCCCCCCAAAGGCCTTCCAGGTGCCCCCAGGTGCCCCCAGGTGCCCCCAGGTGTATCCCAGGTGTGTCCCAGGTGTGTCTCAGATATATCCCACATGTCCTAGATGTGCCCAGCTGCCCCCCAGGTGTGCCCAGGTGCCCCCCAGGTGTATCCAGGTGCCCCCAGGTGTGCCCAGGTGCCCCCAGGTGCCCCCCCAGGTGCCCCCCAGGTTCTCACCGATAGACGCCGACGGCCTCCTTGGCCGTTCTCTTGAGGTGCCGGAATCTCATGGCCATGGGCAGCTCCAGGCTGGTGGCGCGGCTGGGGGGGCGTCAGGGGGTCCCCCCGAATTTGGGGGAACCCCCCGAAACCCCCCCAAAATCCCCCAAATTCCCCCCAAAATGAGGAACCCCAAAAACTCCCCGAAACCCCTCAAAATCCACCCCAAACCCCCCCAAAATCCATCCCAAAATTTACCCCATGGGGACACCAAATTCCCCCCCTGGGGAGGTGTCAGGGGGTCCCCCGAAATTTTGGGGATCACCCCAAAACCCCTCAAAAAACCCCAAATCCTCCTGAAAATTGGGAAGCCCAAAACCCCCCCCAAAATCCCCCCAAAAT